ATATTCATTGTGCACAAAAGACATCTAGAGTCTTCCAGCGCGTTTTCGCCTCGAGACATTTTGGGTGGTAATCCCTCGGGGAGAAGAATGATTGTCAATATGGCCAGCAGAGTGACCATCAGGATGTCCAGCACTAGTCAAAGCAACAGAAAAAGTTGCCGGTTACAAAGTCGAAGAACCAGGTTATGAACTGCTAGAACTACTACTATTGAACTAGTATGCATGTAGTACGCTGCGATCAAGTTTCCAAGCTACTTTTTTTCGTCGCACCAGCATACATCTGTGTGTCGTGTTATTACGTCATCAAAACAATTTTTCTAGTTTGCTTTTCTCAAAAAAGCCGCTCATATGTCTGAAAAATTCATTTAAACAAAACAATTAGCTTTATCAACCAAGTCTTGAAATAAAAGATGACGTGAGACAGGAGGGAGTGGGAAAGGTCACTGTGAGGTTGAAATGCACAAAGTTTCGAGGCGTGAGAGTGAAAAGAGAGAGGAGGGGAAAGGAAATGTGATGTCAAAATGCAAGAATTATTGAAGCGTGAGCGTGCAAAGAGGAAGAATTATGAGGGAAACTGTGAGAGTCTTAAATAGCAAGGTGGCAAGGCGATGAAAAGCGATTCAAAACTGAGGCGCAGATTTTTTGTGAGAGGATAAACCAAAAGAGACGTTTCTTGTAATTTTTGAAAAAAACCAAATGACTTCCACCGATTAATTGCAACCAAGCGATAGAAAATCAAATGCGGTAGACAAAAATACCTTAACGGTCAAAAAGTTAAACTTTATCTGAGAGACAAACACACTTAGAAGTAGTTAAAGTTATAGATATTATCGCGTGTCGAGTAATCGGAGTTTGGACTGACCATCGCTGAAGTCCTCTTTCAAAGTTTCCTTCAGTATGCATAAATGAATTTTTCATCGAAAACAAAACTTTTTCAGAAAAACAGATATTCATCATTCATACTTAGAGAGCAATGGAACAAATCTCGGGCTGGATCAACAACTACGCAATTTGAAAATATTAAAATCAGGATATTGAATCTAAACATCACTTGTACCAGTAGACATATTGCAAAGCCATTTAGTTTGTTTCATTCCTTAGCTATAAATTAGCGCTGCTGTAGCACAACGGATCAAAGGTTCAAAATTCCGCCAGTGAATCGTACAATCCCTCTATGATTTGTTTCACTTCAGCGGCAAATGGTGCTGACATAGGCTAATTAGTTAAACTCACCATTAGTTTGCTCCTAAATAGCTCTCAAAAAACAGAGCCGTTTCAACCTTACCAACGTTTGCTACCAAGCAAGATACTTACAGAATAACTTCGACTCTCGTACGGAGCGAGTACTAACGATCCTGAAGTCAATTTTAATGCATTAAAAAATTCAGAATTTTGATGAATGCCAAGTGAAAACTGGAAATGCACAGTGAAAAGAAATGTTTGATTGATTGCTCATTTTTTTGAAGTTAAAATCGGAGAAAAGTGATTAATTTCATAAAAGAAAAGGAACAAGATGATGAAACAACAGCTGATCGAAGTGTCAAAAAAAGTAACTTTAACAGAAATAGTTCGGAGGAGAGATATCGATAGCAACAATACTCTGTACTTTTTTAAGAACTGTTGGTATTTACTAAAAAGTTGAAAGCCTCACCGCACATGCTCTCTAGGCGCGGCGGAGACATTCAAAAGAATTCTTCGGCAGCTGTATGCGCCAACAGTAACCATCGTTGTCAAGGCTCTAGTGGCTTCCTCTTTCAGCTAAGAAGTAGGCAGATGGTGGGTTTGTGTTGATGCGGATGCCTGGCATGCACCAGTATCAATGTGTCACAGAAAGTAAAATTTGTAAGCAGAAGAGAATTGCAAAAATTTTACCTCAACCACATATTACTTACAAACGAAGTGAGCGTTTTACCAAACTGACTCAAAATAGCTAAAACAAGAGGTATGCCAAAAATTGCGTACACAATACTTAACGCCTGACCACCAGGTGTGCGAGGCGCTATATTACCATAACCTAAAATAATTCACGATTGTAAGTGAAGCGGTTGTAATCATATAAAATTATAAATTTAACTGGTTATGATGGTGGAAGAGGAACAGCATTAGTTCATCTTTTAGACAACCTTATTTGAAAAAGGAAACACTGCCAGCTTTGCAACATATGATTGTTAGAAGTAAATTCGCTACCAGTCGAGCTATTTTTGAGTACTCCGCCTCTCATGAGGAGGAAAATAATGAGTGAAATTTTAATTTCTAACATATGCTCATTTCAAAATATTATTTTTCATTTTGTATTTTATAGTCACAAGTACATAGCCCCAGTGTGTACTCATTCTCCACTAAAAATAGAACCACTCAAAAATAGCCCGGTTAGAAGACTCATGCCAAAAGCAATCATTTGCTGGTGAAACGGTCGATGAATCCCTCATTCGTGGATTGTTTACAAGCAAGCTAGTACCGGATTTAGCTGGCTGACATCAGTACCAATCTAATACAAAAAAGAATGGACGAGTCGTAGGTGGGAAGGAGAGGGGGCCGGTTGTCTCACGGATACAGCTGAACTCTCGGCCTTCTAGCTGAAGGTAGCCCTACCTGCCTTTACACCTTGCTAACCGGCTAACAGACTAGTAATGCTTTTAGAAGCTAATAAGAACAGTTCATGTAAGCAAAGGAATGTATGTCAAGGAGCTAAATAAGCAATCAGCTTGCACATAAGCAATCTTCGAAAGAGAGGGCACTGGCAGCTTTGTCGACGAGTAATTGCTTTGGTGTTTACTTTCATTCCAATTATTTTCCGTTCCACAAAGAGAATGAATACAGATGGGGAGAGCGGGGGTATTACAGCTTTCTATTACATATGAAATAAGAACACGGAAGTCTACAATGACGCATGAAAAAGCATACCGATAGTAGTAAAAATGGTGCCAACATAAAAAAGCGCACCCCACATATCCCACTCCAAGCCCTCAGGCATTTTCAGCTTCGTTAGCTGCTTTTCATACCATAACAATATTTCTCTACAAGAAAAAAAACACGTAAAGACGAAATATCGCAAACAAATTAGGAGCTTTTCTGAGGAAACGCAACTTTCACTTATGAGCAGCACAGGTCCGTAGTAATCGGGACGCAAATCTTAAATAAGGGGAACTGGTAACAAGTGTTCTAGCAAAACAGATTTAAAACAGTTGCAAACGGCCTCCGAACCAAGAAAACGGGACTATTCAAACTGCAAATACAATTACTGGCGACACGCACCAGGCGGCCC